TAATGTCTAACGTTTATATGTGTGTGGGTGTGCGTGTGCATGTGCGTGTGCGTGTGCGTGTGCGTGTGCGTGTACGTGTGCGTGTGCTTTTATATGAGTGTGCGTGTGCGTGTGCGTGTGCGTGTGCGTGCGCGTGCGCGTGTATGTCTACGTTTATATGTGTGTGCGTGTGCGTGTGGCGGGTGCGTGTGCGTGTGCGGGTGGTGTGCGTGCGCGTGTGCGGTTTATATGAGTGTGCGTGTGCGTGTGCGTGCGGTGTGCGTGTATGTCTACGTTTATATGTGTGTGCGTGTGCGTGTGCGTGTGCCGTGTGCGTGTGCGTGTGCGTGGGCGTGTGCGTGGGCGTGTGCGGGTGCGGGTGCGTGTGCGTGTGCGTGTGCGGGTGCGTGTGCGTGTGCGTGCCACTGCGTGGCCATAGGCACGCGTGTGTGTATTTCACACCAATCTAATTGGTACATGTCAAATTATTAGCGACCTGTTGATATGACAATTTGTTTGCTCCTTAATTTTCCACGCGACCAAATAGTGTACCGCATGCGGTGAGGAGTGGTATGCTTTTACAATATGCCGTGGTAGAATGACAGCGACATAACCCATTACAAACAGGTCGGTGTGTATGTGTGGCATGCGAGCGACAATTTGTTTGCACCTTAATTTTTCACGCGACCCTTTTAATTTTTTTCTTCAATTATTACATGTGTATAGTTATCAAATAGTGTACCGCATGCGGTGAAGAGTGATATGCTTTTACAATATGCCTTGGCTACGAGCTGATCTGTTAATGGCTATGCCGGATGTGATGTGATGTTTTTGTTTTGTTCGGGTTTGTCGTTATTCGGTTTCTAAGCGGGTGGGTCGGTTCGGTCCGCGTGCGTGAGCTACGGCATACCAGATATGCGCGCTTACAGGTATCTGTACGTACAAAGGGTTTCTATATGTGCAACACGCAAATAAACGCACGCGCGTAAATGTGCGTGTACGTGTGCGTGTACGTTTATATGTGTGTGCGTGTGCGTTTATAGGTGTGTGCGTGCGTGTGCGGGTGCGTGTGCGTTTATATGTGTGTGCGTGTGCGTGCGCGTGTACGTGTGCGTGCGCGTGTGCGTGTGCGTGTGCGTGTGCGTGCGCGTGTGCATGTGCGTATGCGTGTGCGTGTGCGTTTATATGTGGTGTGCGTGTGCGTGTGCGTGTGCGTGTGCGTGTGCGTGTGCGTGTGCGTGTGCGTGTGCGTGTGCGGTGGCGTGTGCGTGTGCGTGTTGCGTGTGCGTGTGCGTGCGTGCGTTTATATGTGTGTGCGTGTGCGTGTGCGTTTATATGTGTGTGCGTGTGCGTGTGCGTTTATATGTGTGTGCGTGTGCGTGTGCGTTATATGTGTGTGCGTGTGCGTGTGCGTGTGCGTTTATATGAGTGTGCGTGTGCGTGTGCGTGTGCGTGTGCGTGCGCGTGTGCGT